GACTGCTCCAGTGCCTGACGTCAGGGACAAACTCCCTTTGACTTTTACCACTGCTCCATGCCTCAGGGTCCTCCACATCTTCCAGAGCTGACTCATAGGGTCCCTCGCTATCAGAGTCCATCAGCAGCTCCAACGGCTCCTGCTGGGCCATAACACATACATACATACATTTATGCATAAATAAATAAACACATTTCTGAAGAATTACACTCTTCCACTCCTGGTCTACCGAGTCCTTTAATAGTAATGAAATCCTATAAATATTTTTGTTAGGTATAATATCAGAAAGCTATGACAATGATACTATATATTTAATGCCACATGTATTGACAGAAGCGAGAAATGTATTTGCACAATATTGGAAAAATGAGAACACTCCATCAGATGAAAATATAACTCAGAAAATATTGGATTGTGCAGAGATGGATAGATTGACACTGCAAATAAGACATAAAGGAGATAAAGAGTATTATTTAACATGGAATAGGTTTTATCAGTGGTTAGAGATAAGAGGTAGAAATTGGATGAAGAAAGAACATTTTTAGTAAAATATGAATATTGTTTATAAGCATGCTATTATAATTAATAGGATCATAAATAAGCTTATATAATTATAAATGTAGTTAGAATAATTATGTGTATTATTAGCAATATATCTGTTGCTTTTTCTTTTTCGTTCTGTAAAATGGAATGCTCGGAAAATACACTGTATTCAAAATCCATATTTATAAATAAATAAAAAAACTTGACTAAAATAGTCATGAAATAGAGCATTTGTCTTGGAAATGTCATTATCTGTTTGGAATTACCAGATTATGATTGCCACTGGTAATCTAATTATCTGGATAATTTGTACACTTTGTCAATAATAACTGACTATTCCAGTTATAGCTACACACATCCTGTTTAGCGTTAATTTTCTGCTCCATCCGCAGGGTTGTTCCTGGTCTGTCATCTTTGTGGATCTGGATGCTCATAATCGGAATAGGCAAACACTTTGCTCCTTGCTTCCTCGTGAATCACGATCTCACGTAAGGAAAATGTTAACGGATAACATAGAAGGGACTTAATAGGGGATAAATCTTACTATCCATTTTAATACCATGTTTCCCTGAAAATAAGACAGGGTCTTATTTTTTTTTAACACTCTCCCCCCAATAAAGCGCTTGGCCTTGTTTTCGGGGAGGTCTTATTATTTTTGAGGTGCAGGGGGCGGCGAATGTGGTCACCTCATGGCTGCTGCTGCGTTGCAATATTTTCAGGATGGGCTTATTTTCAGGGGAGGACTTATTTTAGCGCATGCGCCAGAGGTGGGTTCCTACCAGTTCGCACCTATTCGGTAGAACCGGTTCGTCAAATCTACTGAACCGGTTAGAAGAGGTTCCACCAGTAGACCCGGCAATAGCAATAGCAA